AATTGTTTACTTTAGAAGGTTACGTGTCCCTATGCTTCCCTCCTGATCGACTATATGTAGCCAGCTGATGACCCGATTTTGCTCAACGTAAGGCAAACCAGCTGGAGTCTGGGATTATCTTCTCACCAATCAGAATCACTCCGGCCACGACAGCGCCGATGACTAGTAATTCATCGCTCGAAAGCGCAGAACCGTACACAGGCACGACGTGTACAATAAAGGCCGTGAACGCTCCATAGATAGCATAGCGCGCCAGCACAATGAGGGCGGTCCTAAGATCACAGAGAGTCCGGCCAGAGAAGTACTCATCTTCCTGGTAGTTTTCTTGCTGGTCCTCGTAGCCCTCGTACTGGGTTGGTTGCGGGACTTCCATTAGCACAATGATACTTACTCAAGAGAAAAAAACCGGGGCCTGGGTGCGGGCAAAGACAGCCCTTTTCTTTCTGAGCAACCTCCAGACATGGCCGAAGGCAAGCAGTTGTACTTGGACGAAGATCCCATTCGAGTTCCCGGCATCAACTATAGCGTCATCAGCTTCCTTACACCAAGGGGCCCGCAAAAGTGTGAGACCTTTGGTGTCAAGGTCCGAGGTTCGTTTGATACTTATGACCAGGCCAACGCACATGCCCAGAGGCTGGCAAAGGTGGACCCAGCCTTTGACATCTATGTCGTTGACTGCTACCGCTGGCTCACCGCAGCTCCTGACCCTAATCTGCTCGACAAGAAGGTGTACAACAATCCCACGTTGAATACACTCATGGAGTCGTATCAGCAAGAGCAAGAACGAGCAAAGCAGCTCTTTGAGGAGCGCAAGGCCAAGGTGATGGCGGAGGGCCTGGAGGCTGTGGAGGAGACCTTAGAGAGCCCGGACCCTGAGCGTGAGACGAATAATGCCGATGAAGATAAAGATAAGGCGGATGGCAGCTCTGCCTCTTGATCTTGACATGGGGAACCCCAGGGTTGTGGCGGCCCTCCTGCTGATCGGTGGGCTCATCATCTTCCTGAGCCCCCTCATCAATGTACTGCAGCTCTTTGGCGTGATGCTCGTCCTTAGGGGCGTCCTAATCTACACGACCGGCAGCCTCCGGGTTGTGAGGGGCGCCCGAGCCCGCCTGCAGGCGCTGCCTGAGCGGATGGACGCGGCTACTGCTGCCTTGAGGGCCGCGGACTCTGCCACGCAGGCGGCCAAGGCTGCGGCCCCAAAGAATACCGTGCAATATCTGCCAACCCTGGACATGTTCTTTGCGGGCAAGAGTGTAGGCACCTACTTGTCGGACAACATGTTCAAGCTGAACGACCCCCACCCGTCGGGGACATAGTCCTTTCATGCGATGCGCTCGTCTTTGTCTCGAACTCCGACTTCAATAGACGAGGGCGGAAGCTGCTTCTGTGATTCGGACTCCGACTCCGACTCAGACCTATTCTCTGTAAAAAGCACGTATTCAGACTGTTTGCCCCAGCGCTGCTGTACCAGTTCTACTTCGTAAATATCGTAGCCATTGTTTTGTAAATTCTGATAGTGGCGGACTACTTCCGGAATAGATGCGTTGTCACTTCCCTGCATTGCGAATATTCGTTTGCCATTCAGTGTTACATCGTCAAAAAATGCACCATCTCTTGCCAGTACAGTAACCCGAAGGTACGATTTTATCACTTTTGGATGTTGACAACAGATCAATTGTAAGCCCTTCCTGATCAGTTTGATTGGGTCTGGATCTGCCATTTGCAGTACTGTCAGGAAGAATACAAAGGCTCCAGACGAGGTAACGAACCCTAGGCGCCCCTTGGACAGCAACTCGCGGCTAGCAGGTGCCGGCCTGAAAAGCATCTAGCCTTGAGCATGGCACAATTCAAGGGTTGAAAAGGGGCTTAGGGCGACGCGTCTAGTAGAGATGGCAACTATTTTCATGGCATCTGCTATGGCTTCCCTGAGAGCCACAATCTTTGAGCTCGCAGAGTGTGGGTTCTATGGGATTCCTGTCAAAATCACCCTCGAGAACGGTAAGAAGGTCAGCTCGTTCCCGCGATCCTATGCGCACCTGACAACGGTCGAGAGGTGGAGGCAGAGCATCGATGGCATCATCGCCTCGCACGGGCGCGGCTGCAACAGCATCGCGGTCCTGACGGGCATCAGTGACCTCTTTGTTGTCGACATTGACACCACATCCGACTCCACAAAGCAGGCTGGAATGGACCTCTGGAACAGGCTGGTGTTTGAGCACGGGGAGCCAAACACTCTCCGCGCAAAGACGGGGAGCGGTGGTCTCCACTTTTACTTCTCTGTCTCACAGACGCCCCGCCTGAAGCGGACCCGCAACTTCTCTGGTGTCAAGGTGGACGGCCATACCCACGGCATCGACGGGAGAGGGAGGGGAGGTGTCATCTTCTGCCCTCCCAGCTCCTACACGGACGAGAACGGCACCCGTTACAGCTACTTTTGGGAGCACGGGGAGCCGCGGCTCGGCTGCAACGGCATGCCGGACTGGCTGACCGATCTGGTCAACGCGCAGGGCGGGGCGGCGCTTCCAGACCCGGACGAAGCACCCGGCGACCTTCAGGCTCTCCAGGCCTTCGCTCCCGATCCCCAGGCCGGCCCGAGCGCCCTGCAGCTGCCAGTGGACCGTTCCATTGTTCCACGCGGAGAGCCGTTCTTCACGGAGAGGGAACCGGCTCACTACGATCTTGCATCCGCCCCCAACGCGCTGATTGTGAGCGGCATCAGGGACCTGCTGCTCGAGAAGGCGGGTGACAGGACAAGCCGCTGCAGCAGCACGCTCGACCACGGCCCGTTTGGCACCTTCTACTGCTTCCGGGTCAGCGGGCCCCGCATCTGCTTCCTCGGCCAGCAGCACGACGGGGCCAACAACTTCAACGTCCTCAAGCAGGGCAAACGGCTGCTCTATCGGTGTCACGGCACCATCTGCAGTCACGAGAAGGTCAAGCCGCTGGGCTACCTGCCCCTCGAGGTCGCACTGATGGACGCGAGCTCGGAAGCAGTGGACGATGCTAGCGATGACTCCGTCTTCAACTTCCGGACAATGTCCTCCAACAACCAGGCGCTCCTCCTCCGGCTGCTGGCGGAGAAGATACGGGAGAACTACACCGGGTTGGGCCAGGTCTTTGCTTACGTCTACGCCAAGGAGGGGCGCATCCTCGTGACAGACCCCAAGAGGACCTTCTACTTCTGGGACGGCAAGCAGTGGATGCGTGACGACGGCGGGAAGGTCCAGAGCACCTTCTGCGTGCAGATGGCCAGGCTGCTCAGGTGGTACGACCGTCAACGCGATGCTCTCCTTAAGCGGAAGCTTATTGAGGCGGGCGCCTGCCAAGAGGACGAGCCCATGAGCTCGGTGATCGCGGCTGCGCGGAAGAGCGACGCAAGGGTCAAGAAGGCAGAGGCCCAGGTGGAAGAGGAGCTGCCACGCAACAAGGTCAATGTCAGCAACCCAAAGGAGGCGCGCAGCTGCCTGGAGTACTGCCAGAGTTTTTTCTACGAGCCGGATCTCCTGTCATACATGGACAGGAACAATGACATCATAAGCTGCCCCAACGGCATCCTGGACCTTCGCACTGGCAAGCTCACCGCACCGCACCCCAGCCACATGTGCACACGGTCTGCAGGCACGAGGTACATGGGTGCCGGCTACGACACGAGCCGCTTCCAGGCGTTTGTGGACGACATCTTCAACTCCGAGGCCGAGGTCGTCCAATGGATGCAGCTTTTCCTCGGGTACTGCCTTACGGGGCACACGATCGAGGAGATGTTTTGTGTGTGGTTCGGTTCAGGGGCAAATGCGAAGGGCGCCCTTAAGCAAGCAGTTGCCAGGGCGTTTGGCACCTACTACACGGTGATGAACAAGGACTGCTTCATCAAGCCGGGAGGGAAGCGGGCGGAGGGCGCAGCGACCAGCCACATCATGCAGCTGAAGAGCGCCCGGCTTGCAATCTGTGACGAGAGCGAGGAAGGACAGCAGATCAACGGTGGAATCATCAAGGAGATGTCCGGTGGAGGGGCCGTGACCGCACGCGAGCTCTTCTGCAAGCCAGAGACGTTTGTGCCAACGCACAAGGCCGTCCTCCTGACGAACCACAAGCCGGACATCTCTGACGCGGACGAGGGACTCCTAAGTCGGAGGCTGTGTATCGTTCCTTTCGTCAACTGCTACAAGCCACCCGGGGAGCTCGACCCCAACAATCCGTTCCACAAGCCTCAGGTTAGCGCTCTCAAGGACTTTCTAGAGTCTGAGGAGGGCTGGTCTGGTGCGTTCGGGGTGCCATGGAGTGGTACCGCAGGCGGGAGCTCAACCCGGTGGCCAAGGTGCTGCAGCCCCTCCCAAGGACTCTGGCAGCGGCTTTCAGCGACTACAAGCTGGAGGCGGATCAGCTCCAGCAGTTCAATATCAACGACTGCTGTGAGATTGGGCCCGACTATGCTGTCAGCTCCGCAGACTTTCTGGCTCAGTACGTTACAGAGATGGGAGCAAGCATCAAGCCACGTGCACTCGGTATGGCCATGCATAAGAAGGGGTTCGCGCCCACAGAAGTGACGGTGGGTAATGCTCGGAGGAGAGGCTTCAAGGGCATTCGCCTCAAGGAAGTACTGGACTGACCCATGTTACAGAGCTCTTCTAAAATTCCTGCGTTTCAACAGAGGCGATTATTATACACTCGAGCTGTAGGTGTACCGATCGCAAGTATGGACTCAATCCAACCTGCTACTGCAACCAGATATTGCAATGGCTGTAGAATAACCCTCAACTCTGAATCGTTCAACAAGGGAACCGCACGATGCAAGCTCTGTTGCAAGCAATACAAGAAGTTTCATTACGACAAGAACCGAGATACTATTGCTGCAAAACACAGGTTGTATCGAGAGGCCAATGCTGAAGGCATCAGGATTGCAAAGAAGAGATATTGCAAAGAGAACAAAGACAAGGTGGCGGCCGCGAAAAAGGGGTACAAAGAAGCCAACAGGGAAGCGGTCAATCGTCGCAAGCGGATATGGGCAAGGAATGCTTACGAACCTACAAAGTGGCTCGTATCATTCAAGAAGAGGTTCACACCGGTACTTGAAGAGCTCGTGCGGCATTTTGCCTCTAAGACCTGCATAGTCTGCGGCGTTAACCAAGCTGTAACAGAGTTTGTACACTTGAAGCAGAACAAACCTGTTGCAACATGTCTTCGATGTCGCACAAATGTTAAGCAAGCCCAAGCAACTGCAATCTACAGGGAGAAACAGAGAACGTACTACCGGGAGATCCTCTGCCCGTACAGCGACTCTGTCAAGCAGGCTGGAGAGTGCGTCGACTGTGGTGAAAAGGATTGGATGGTCCTTGAATTTGACCACCGCGACCCAAAGACCAAAAAATGCTGTATTCTACATTGTCGTACACTGGAAGCAATGAAGGCAGAGATTGCAAAATGCGATCTCCGTTGCTGTGTATGTCACCAGCTCAAGACGTTGCGTGATAAGAAGACTCAAGGATCTTGGTCCGGCCAGCACAAAGTCAAAGCTGCTTTTGTGAATGAACACAAGCTGTCAGCAGGCGGGTGTACCCATTGCGCACGTTTTATCACAAGAGCCAGTACATCGGCCTTTGACTTGGATCACCTTGATCGCTCTACGAAGGTGCATTCCAGCAGTAAAGATGGTAAGTAGTGCTAAGTACACACTCTCTGACATCAAAGAGGAGCTACTAAAAACCCGCTTACTATGCAAAAACTGTCACCGACGCCACACCCTGCAACAACTTTTCCAAAAAAATCCAACGCAGCCCGCGATGTAGAACAACATGAAGAGGGATACTCTTATTACCATTTTCGCCCAAAC